GCGCGAATTAAAAATTAAAGTATATGCAATTTACTTTAATTTACTTTTCTAAATGAATAGAGTTATAAGATAGAAAATATCACTGTTGTTATCTTCAAGATATTTGAAAATTGAATCGTTTATAGCAAAATTTAAAACAATGGCTAGCTTTTAACCAATCAGAAAATTCCATTTCGACTTTCACTGATATCGCTGGAACGGTTTATCGCACGGGATAAAAAGTATCCTATGTCCTTCTCCTGGCTCTAAACTACCTCCCTGCCAATTTTCAGCTAAATCGGTTCAGCCGTTCTTGAGTTATAAGTGAAGTAACTAACACGACTTTCTTTTATATATATAGATATATATATACAAAAATCTCTTATCACAGTTTTAGTGGTTAAACTCCTCGACCTATTTTGATGAAATTTTATATGTATATTCAGTAGGTCTGAGATTAGGTTTATAACTAATTTTTTTTCATTTTTTGGACAGATTTAACGTATATTAGAAATATATCTTTATTTAATCATATTCCAATCCAAACTAGACATAGAAACATGATAAATCAGAAACAATATTCACCCACGTTGCAACAAGTCATATTAAGCTCTAATACTTATGCTCGCCCTTAAAAGTAGAACTTCAAATGTATTTGTAAGTATGTGAATAATTATATTTCGATATTTCGAGTTGAAAATACCAATGTGACTGCTCTTCCAGTGAATAACAACGATGAAATAACGCTGTACCAAATTGACCGGTACATCAGATCCAATGAAGCTGTTTCGCGCATTTTTGGTGTCCCAATTCATGAACGGGATCCAACCATTATTCATTTAACCGTTCATCTTGAAAACGGTCAAAGCGTATATTTAATGAACAAGACAGCGATTGACCGAGCTATAAATCCAGCAAACTCTACTCACCGAATTTTTTGAATTGTGTAATCGTGCGGATGCTTTTGGTGCCTTTGTATGGACATTACTCTACTAAGAAGTACCACACTATTTCATATGGGATCAAACAAACAAAATGTACACCCTGCATGCAAGGCACACTGGTTGATGCATGTCCCGGTTTATTCAAATCAAACGCCTTGGGGAGAGTATTTACAGTTAATCCAAGACAGACTGAGTACTTTTATTTTCGACTGTTGTTGGTTAATGTCACAGGCTCATTGTCATTTCAAGATATACGTAAAGTCGATGGATATCAGCACGCAAAGTATAAAGATGCATGCCTTGCACTCGACTTGCTGAAAGATGACAACCAGTGGGAATGTAGGCTTGCTGAAGCAGCATTGAACTGTACTGCAAAGCAAATTCGTCTACTATTTGCTATAGTATTAACTACATGTTTCCCGGCCCGTATAGAAACGTTATGCGATAATCACAAAGATTCGATGACTGACGAAATACGGTATCAACATCGCACACGTTGCAACTATCTAACGATAGCATTCAGCGATGCTATATACAATAAAACACTGATTGCTATTGAGGATTTTTACATTATTATTGCCAACTTGCACTCCGTCATTTCGGTATGCCTTCGCAAAATCGAATTGCATCTGATTTATTAACCTCTGACATTAATCGTGAACTTCAATACAATACGATAGAAATGGTTGCGATTGTTACTCACAATGTTACCCTAACGAATAAGAAACAAATGAACATTTATGACCGCATTATGCTCGCAGTTTCAGCAGGAAAAGCTGGATTTTTTTTTTTGGATGCACCAGGTGGTACTGGCAAAACACTCATTATTTCGCTAATTCTCACTGAAATATGATCAAATAATGGCATCGCGTTGGCCGTTGCATCATCTGGCATTGCGGAAACTTTATTGGATGGAGGCAGAGCAGCTCATTCATTATTTAAGCTGCCACTAAATATTCAAAACAACCCAGATGCAGTGTGCAACATAAAAAAAGCAATCGTCTATGGCCACATTGTTGAAACACTGTAAAATTATCATCTGGGATGAAAGCACTATGGCACACAAAACCTTGAGGAGTTGAACAGGACATTGAAAGATATAAAAAACAATGACAAATTACTTGGCGGCACTCTGTTACTCCTTTCAGGTGATTTTAGACAAGCACTTCCCGTCATTCCACGTTCAACGTACGCTAATGAAATCAATGCTTGCTTGAAATCATCTCCACTGTGGCGTAATGTTGAAAAAGTTCAACTAAAAGTAAATATGCACGTCCAAATGCTTCAAGATCCATCTGCTGAAACACTCAAAACAATTGTTAGATATTGGTGATTTACTAAGGATGAGACTGGATGCATAAAATTATCGGACGATTTCTGCACAATCATTGAATCTCAAGATGCTCTCATTAACCTAATATTTCCCACTGTACACACACACAATACATTCATCATGAGTGGCTGGCAGAAAGGGTGATTTTAGCAGCAAAAAATGTGGACGTCAACGAATTGAATCTGAAGATATAACAGTTATAGCCAGGTAACTTGGTGACATATAAATCCGTTGATGCAGTTTGCGATCCCATTGAAGCTGCGCATTTTCCAACAGAGTTTTTAAACTCATTGGATTTACCAGGCATACCACCGCATAATTTAGTACTTAAAGTTGGATCTCCGGTTATTTTGCTCCGTAATTTGAACCCACCACGTCTGTGCAACGACACGTGATTAGTTGTTAAAAATTAAGGAACAACGTTATCTAAGTCATTATTTTAGATAACAAATTCCTGGGTGAAAATATATTACTTCCACAAATCCCTATTATACCCACAGATGTGCCAATTCAATTTAAACGCATTCAGTTTACCATTAGATTGGTATTTGCAATGATTTGCGTCTTAGATTTGAGCACACCATTCCGTCATCGTTCACAGCGCTCCATGCCTCTTCCACTCATATACCAAATACGCACACACTTACTACAAATAATATATATTTTCATACTCTAGAAATAATTCATGTGGCAAAATAACGTTTACCAAGTCTATATATAAAATCTCTTGTGTTAGTGTTTATACTCTTCCTAAACGGCTTGACCGATTTTGATGAAATTTTATATATATATTCAGTAGGTCTGAGAATAAGTTTATAACTAAATTTTTTCCTTTTTTAGACAGATTTAACGTATATTTTAAATATATCTTTTTTTAATCGTATTCGAATCCAAACTAGACATAGAAACATAATAATTCCAAAACAATATTCACGCACGTTGCAACAAGTCATATTAAACTCCAACACTTATGCTCGCCCTTAAAAGGAGAGCATCAAATATATTTGCAAGTATGTGAATAATGGCAGTGAAATTTTAGTATTTCGAGTTGAAAATACTAATGTGACTGCTCTTCCAGTGAATAACAACGATGAAATAACACTGCAACAAATAACGCTGTACCAATTTATTTTATTTTCTGTTTTTACGTGCTATTTTTACTTATTGTAATTTATTTTTTTTGCTGTAATTTTCGTAAAAAAATTTTTTTGAGTGCTCCTCACACTATTGTATTAATATATTTTGCTTTGGCTATATTGATACAATATCAGAAAGCACTCTTTTTTGCAGATATAATTGTGTGGGCTGATAAAAAGATATATATTTTATTTTCCGCTTTTGTTTTTGTTTTTTTTAAATTTCAAATTTCATCCTTTTTTTTAATCAGTTGTTTTTTCATTATTATTCCCCCCCCCCTTTTGCATATGTCAATATTTTCCCTGTGTTTTATCTTCATTTTGAACTTATCTAATGAGTTCTGTTTACTTGCAGCTTAAGCGCAATAAATGAAACTTATTGTTTTTCTTAACTTTCTTTTATATCTTGTATTTATTTTTATATATATATATATATATATATATATATATA